TAAAAAATATATATATATAAAGAAAAACCCTTGAATGAGTAGGTGTGTCCAAACTTTTGAATGGTACTGTATATATATCTTTATTTTATTTCGGTATTTTATTTTTTTAATTAATTGTATTAATTTCCGGGAGGGAAAAACACGTTAAGTGTAAACTTAAACAACTAAAACCAGATAAAGTATGCAGAAAAGATAATTGACCTATATATTGACTGTAAGTCGCTTTGGATAAAAGCGTCTGCTAAATGGCATATTATTATATTATTATTATATTTTTTTATTATATAATCTTTGAGAACTAACAATCACCAGAATAAAAGCTAGACAGTCAGGGAGAATTGAAAATTACAAAAACAATGAATTTAGTAGTACTCATTTTGTTATTATGTTTAAGCAAAAGAACACGCCATTATCCATTACAAAATGTAAAGAATTGCAGGAAACTAGCTTTAAAACTACAAAAGTATCTCAGTTCCATGGCAGAATTTGTAGAATTGCAGATAATTCGCTATAAAACTGCAACATTTTCTCTCAGCTGCATGGCAAAATGTGTAGAATTGTAGAAAATTAGCTTTAAAACAAAAAAAGATATATATATTCTCAGCTCCATGGAGAAATTTGTAGAATTTCAGGAAATTGGCTTTAAAATGCTACAATTTCTCTACAGCGCGCCAAGATGGGGGCCTCTAAAATGTTCTCTAAAATGTAGCCGTGCCGACCGCACACATTGCCACGCCCCCTACCACACTTAAGCCCCTTTTTGATCCAGAAAAAAACCTGGAAATATCAAGGAAATAAGAGCATGACCTAGCCCAAGTCAATTAATCTAACACAATATAAGTCAACTTAGATACATAAAAAAGTTAAGCAAGCAGATATGTTGTAGCTGGGTCATTCCACCAATTAGGTGCCTTTTGAGTAGTGTAACTTGGTGGGGAAAAAAACGTTCACCTAATTTTAACATTCTGTCACAAAGAGCACATGTTCAACTTAATAAAAAACATGTTTTCCCATCTCAAAATAATACTATAGTAAGTGCCTAATAAGTGCCGAATAAAGTACCAGGTTTGACGATTTAATCTTAAATCAGCCATAAATCCCCTTGCAACAGGGGGAATGGAAGCTTGTTGTGTGAAACAGGAAGGGGCAATAGCGGAGGTGCATAAAGATGGCGGCCCCCTGCACTTACCAGATATTCCTTGTTTTGCTAAGATCACCATATTGTACATTGCTCTCCGTTATCCTTTTTTATGTATGGTCATTAGCAAAGTATACATGATCCCAATTTTAGCTAAAAGACTCCGGCAATTTGAAAAAACGAAAAAGTAGATTGTGCTGATTTATTGGCACATTGAACCATATCGCGCGCCGTAGTTTAAAATCTCAGTGGATAGTGCTAAAACAATTGTCATATCTAAATTCTGCCATCCTTATGCATGTTCGCCACTGAATGCAAACTTCACAAAAAATATATTTGTGAAAACATTTCGACCAGCTCAGTTTTCCACCACAAAACACCAGAAAATTGTACAAAAACTGTAGAACCAGCTCACCTGCTTTTACACTATGATTTGACTATTAGATGGTCAATGTTTCTTTTGAAAAAAATATATTTAATAAGGGAATAGTTTCACCATAATAAAAGGAGAGTGCAGTTCATGTAACAGGGTTGACCTTAAAATGAGGGACAGGTACAAAAAAATTACAATTAATCACATGAAATGAATAATCTTCAAAAATTACTTTGTCAAAGCAACAAAATAACTTTACAATGATGGTGAAAACTTAGAGAAATGCTGGGTTTAAAAGAGTTAAAATCTTCCTAGAAGTCAGAGGATGCACAGAGGGACATATCAAAATGCTGAATTTTAGCACTGCTTTAGCAAGTCTTTATTCAATCAGATGTATTGAATTGTCCATGTGGTCTAACGTCATAATTACAGGGCACTTCATTTAATATAAAATTCAATACGTGCACAATTTCTACTTAAAATATCAAAGGGACGCAAAAGTCACTCATTTCGTGGAACGACCCAGCTAAACCATGTGCATGTGATTTTGAAAAGCTATAGCTATATTCCAGCTACGTTACCTAGCTAGACAGATTAGTTGCTAGATGACGTTAGTAACGTAGTTACAGTAACGTTAGCTGTTTACTAAAATAAGTACTGTAGCTAGCTAACGTTAGCTAGTTAGCTACCTTGAAATCCATCTGTGTAGCTAGCTCAAATAACAAAATATTAAACTAACTGACTAGAAAGCTATAGATATTAGTTAGTAAAAGAGTTACATACCATCTCCAAATATCAACCCTGCGACGAACAAAATAGATGTATTTCAATTTGAATTCAACAAGGTAAAGCTAAAACAGTATCAGGCGGCAGGTAAACAAAGATTGCCTGAAACTACAGTAGGATATTATTTTAAATGACAAGGGAACAGTCCAATAAAAAATTGTAAATCTTCAAGAAATTACGAAATGGCTTGTCTTGACCAATAGTGAAGTACGTGGGTGGGACATAAACGTTGGACCGTATCGTATGGCTCTTTTCCTGTCTCCTAGCAACAAAATGCAAACCGGCGCTTGTTTGCGCACGCGCTCATACAGGGTACATTCGTAAATTTTCTCTGGTTTTCGCTATCTACTCCGATTTCAGAGCACTCTCGTCTGTGTGCCAGAGCGCAGAATAACTGATGAATTTACGAATGCTCAACACCCGTTGAATATGACCGGTGTCAGTAAACGTCTGCAAAACAAGCATAAATAAATTGTTGCCAGCAGCATAGTTACAGTCACCAACGCTCTGGATAACATGAAAAAAGTGAGGTTGTTCTCTCATTTGTGTCTGGAAGTAGCTAGCAAGCTAGCCAACGTTAGCCAGTTAACTTCGGCGCTTGACTGCAGGCGGATCAACCCAACTCCTCGGCCAGAGCATCCAGTGTGCGCTCTGAACGCTCTGAGAGCGAAACGATCTGAATTTACGAACGGACAATCTGACAACGCTCTGAATTTACGAACGTCCAGAGCGCACTCCAAATTGAATTTACGAACACACCCACAGATAACAACTGGAGCAGAGCGTGAGCTACCTGGGACTGCTGCATGCAAACAACAAGTTGTTAGGAAACAGTTGATCGTTGTGTCGTGCAATTAGTTGTGATTTGCTAAATTCATATAATCTTCATAGCAGGCTTCCATTGAATGTAAGCTTCCCTTCGATGGACAGTATCTGATGTTTTAGGGCAGCAGAACCCGATTTTCATGCGAATATTCTAAAATCCACATAAAAACAATATGCGCATTTTCCCAACAGATGTTTCTATCAAATCGACTTGTCTAGTAACAGTCTGTGCGTGATGATGTGGTGCACATACAAATTGCAGCCCAAATAAATGCTTCAGAGTATAAGTAACAGACACATCTCAACATCAACTGTTCAGAGGAGACTGTGTGAATCAGGCCTTCATGGTCGAATTGCTGCAAAGAAACCACTACTAAAAGACACCAATAAGAAGAAGAGACTTGCTTGGGCCAAGAAACACGAGCAATGGACATTAGACCAGTGGAAATGTGTCCTTTGGTCTGGAGTCCAAATTTGAGATTTTTGGTTCCAACTGCTGTGTCTTTGTGAGACGCGGTGTGGGTGAACGGATGATCGCCGCATGTGTATTTCCCACCGTAAAGCATGGAGGAGGAGGTGTTATGGTGTGGGGGTGCTTTGCTGGTGACACTGTCAGTGTTTTATTTAGAATTCAAGGCACACTTAACCAGCATGGGGACCACAGCATTCTGTAGCGATACGCCATCCCATCTGGTTTGGGCTTAGTGGGACTATCATTTGTTTTTCAACAGGACAATGACCCAACCCACCTCCAGGCTGTGTAAAGGCTATTCTACCAAGAAGGAGAGATCTGCATCAGATGGCCTGGCTTCCACAATCTCCCGACCTCAACCAAATTGAGATGGTTTGGTATGAGTCGGACCGCAGAGTGAAGGAAAAGCAGCCAACAAGTGCTCAGCATATGTGGGAACTCCTTCAAGACTGTTGGAAAAGCATTCCAGGTGAAGCTGGTTGAGAGAATGCCAAGAGTGTGCAAAGCTGTCATCAAGACGAAGGGTGGCTATTTGAAGAATCTCAAATATAAAATATATTTGTATTTGTTAACACTTTTTGGGTTACTACATTGCATATGTGTTATTTCATAGTTTTGATGTCTTCACTATTATTCTACAATGTAGAATATAGTAAAAATAAATAGAAACCCTTGAATGAGTAGGTGTTCTAAAACCTTTGACTGGTAGTGTAGGTGTGCCAAGCTTGTAGCGTCATACCCAAGAAGACTCCAGGCTGTAATCGCTGCCAAAGGTGCTTCAACAAAGTCCTGAGTAAAGGATCTGAATACTTAAGTAAGTATGATATTTCAGTTTTTTTGCACAATTTTCTAAAAACCTGTTTTTGTTTTGTCATTATGGGGTATTGTGTGTAGATTTATTTTACATTTACATTTGAGTCATTTAGCAGACGCTCTTATCCAGAGCGACTTACAGTTTGTGAGTGCATACATTTTCATACTTTTTTTTCATTCTGGACCCCCGTGGGGATCGAACCCACAACCCTGGCTTTGCAAATGCCATGCTCTACCAACTGAGCTACAGAGGGCCATTTATGAGGGGGGAAAACAATTTCATCCATTTTAGAATAAGGCTGTAACATAACAAAATGTGGAAAAAGTCAAGGGGTCTGAATACTTTCCGAATGCACTGTATGTTGGGATGTCTGCAGGTCAAACAGTGTGTCGATTGAAGATGTTTGACCGGTTGCTTCTTATAGTGGCACATCAGTACTTCAGGGTTCTCCACACACAGTGTTACTGAAACTTGTCATGGTCCCTTCACTGTTGTCCAGTCATCATAGAATCGTGACAAGCTCTAGCCATGAGGCCTTCAAAAACAAGAAACAAAGCAGAATAAAACTCACTCATAGCAGACATTTTTGCTGATGAGAACGCCACACCAGGGTTCACAAGCAGTGAATTCTAAAGGAGTTGATATTCCTCACCTCGCTGAAGACGTGAGCCATGGATGTGTGGATGCAATGAGCTTAGTGATTGAGGTCAGCAGGATACAGTAAAAAAACAATGGAAGTGGTGACAGCTTTAGAATATTTGATGTAAAAAAGCTGGTAACATGCACTCATATCAGGCTTGTCAGAGGACCATTCATGTTTTAACCAGGTTGCGTTATTCTGCTTTCTGCAGAGCAGTCTTCCCTTGTTCATCACATGAAATAACAGAGGTGGCAAGTTCTTCTCATTAACAGAGATCTCAGTGAAAAATACCGCCATCTTCGTTTCAATAATAAAACTGACATCAGCCATGTGACCGACAAGTTGGACTTGAACAGTCTCAGCAAAGAAGATGATTGGCAAAACAACGTTTTACCAACTCTGTTGGAAAACAATGTGAATCTAGTTTTAGTCAATGGTGAGGAAAGTGAAAGACTAACACAGCACTGCTTAAGAAACTGTATACTCGTGGTTGACAGGGTGAAGGCCGCCATTTTGAAGGACTTTGCAGAAACAACAGGAGCTGTCCCTGTCACCTATGCCACACAACTGACACACAACTGAGTAAGCACTGCGTCGGCACCGGGGTAAAAGTCTCCATATGGAGAGACTGCAGTGGCAATGGAAGCAGAGCATCAATGGCTGTGTACATTGTGGCTGATTGCATTGCACTGGTCACAGTGGTCCTCACGAGCTCTGTGCACGGCAAGCTGCAGGCCTTGGAGGACTGGTTCTGGGGCTGTGCCTATCGTCTACACCACACACTGAAAGACAGGAATCTGCTCCCCAGTGCTGGAACAAATACATTGTTTTGCGTCCATCACCTTCAAAAGCACATTGACGATAAGGGTGAGCAAACAACAGGGAAAGATGCAGCCTCTGTCCCACAAGATAAACAAGGAAGAGCAGGAAACCCACACAGGGCTGATGTGCTTCAACTCATGGCAGATGGTTGGATGGACTACATTTCCACTCTGATGTTGAACAGTGGAACATGCTCAAAAGTGGATGCTTGGACTACAATCAATCAGCAGCTGAAAGATTTGAATGGAAGATTATTTCTAGATGCTAATTTCTCAAGACTGCTTTTGAGAGATGACACCGAGGATGGTTTGATGTCCCCAGATATGAAGCACAGTGCTGGGAAAGTCTATGACAATGTGACGGTGAAGTTGGAAGCATGGAGGAAAGCCCTGGATCTTGTCTTCCTTGTGTTGCAGACAGACACTGAGATCATTATTGGTATAGATCCTAAACAAGTGGAGGGGCAATCAAATGTTATGGTGCTATGATGGTTTTTAAGTGAACACAGTTTTGTGTACTATAATTTTGCATATTGAAAACATTGTCATGTAATGCATATCTAATGTGTTTTATTCTATGAATCCAAATATGCTGAAAAATTAATAAAGGGTTGTAAATTCAGAGGTATTATTCAGTTATTAGAGCTTGTCAGCCAATAGTAAATTGCAGTGGCCTGGCAAAATTTGACCACATGGGGGAGACAAAGGATATGAACATTGCGCTATGTCACATCATGGTTTTCTTGTGTGTTTTGAGCTCAGTAAACGTTTTCATGATTATCCCCATCCTAGAATTACATGTTGATCATCTCACATCACACCTCATGCACAATTTATATGATACATTCCACCCACAGCCAAAGTTACAGAACAAGCATAGAATGTGTGACATATTTTATCAACCTCATCACTGACTACAAAGTAAGCATTATAGGCTATTGAGGAGTTGCTAACAGTTTTCAAAATGGAAGATTAAACACGAGGGTCCAGTGTTGACCCTTTAACATCTTGCCACCAATGACATGTAACAGTCTACTTCAAAGATGAGCTCATCTTCTAAAACCCAATGAATAATGCACTGTTGAAGTGTCACTGATGGGCCCAAGGAAAATGTAATTTTTTTTGTCAGTGTTTTCCTGAGTCTCTATTTGCTTCCTATGTGTCTGCACTTAGACTTACAACCTCCACTTTGGACACTGCCTAAGTCCCAGCCAACAAGACATGGTTTCATGACTGGCTTGGTCCTGTTTGTCATAACATAGGAAGAGTTTGCAGAAAAGGAACTTTCCTAGACAAAGTGAATGTCTCTCAGGTCTGACTAATCCAAAACCCTGCTAATGTAAAACGTTTTTAAAAAATATCAACATTTCTCACTAGGTCCCAGAAGCTGTCTTGTTTTTATGTAACGGTGAACTTTAATTATCAACTTGAACTTACCATATGTATTTCCATTGGTCATATTCTAACAAAGGAGCTCCACAGGGATCATAACAGACTGTGATGGCTGTACTTTGGAATCCAAGCTATTTTAACTCTAGCATCACTCAATGGTGGTGTTGCTGTGAATGGTTTGGGGTGTGATGATGACCAATGAAAACATGACAACTGAGAAGTAAATGGGTAAGACCAAAGTAGTGACACATTTGGAAGGTCAAACTAGGAACACATTTGGAAGGTTAAACTAGTGACACATTTGGAAGGTCAAACTAGGGACACATTTGGAAGGTCAAACTAGACACATTTTGTTTTTTTTATGTCTGCTCACAACCCAATTTATGTTGGAGGAGTGTCTGGAGGAATCCAATGCCTAATACTTCGTCATGGCAAACAGAGTGAGACAGTGTACCTGGAATTAGATGAATGTGTTGTATTTGAAGTACTGTCTGAAAATTATGCCCATGGCACACAAAGCCCACACAATACCTACTGTTTCAACTCAGTATGATTCTGAAATTATTATCAGTCCGTGTGAGGATAGTCAAGTGAATAGGAAGTATTATTTTGTGCTGAGTCATTGTGGTCTGCCTGTGGTTACATTTTTCATTGATATGCATGCATCCAATCACAATGATATTATCAACCATAATCTGAGTTTCAGATGTGTGTCCATGTGAAAACAGACATTCATGGCTTTGACTCAGGTTAAAATTGATTAAAGACAAAATATCTAAATGGCATACTTTATAGAAACAGCATTCATACAATTCACGTCAACGCAGAGTTTCTGTTTGAAGGGGCCATTCAAATAGTCAATTTCCTTTCATTAAATTAGACAAGCCATTGTAATTTACTCTGTTGTACTTTCTGCTGCATTATTTGGTTGTTCTTCAATAGCATAGCACCGAATCACTGATTCTGCTCAAAAGTTCTACCAAGCTAAGCTGAAGCCTCCACTGGTCTCAGGTTGCACCAGCCCAGGGTCTCTTATGACGCAGGTCTGTCAGTAAGCCCCAGTCTTTTCTCTGCTAGTGCTGTGTAGGGTTGGCTGGTTCAGTTAGAACGTCAAAGTGGGCTTGTGCAAGTGTGTGTGTGTGCTCGCATTGGAGGGCGCATGCGAACTGAGGCCCACACGGGAAGCCTCTCCAGATTTCTGCCAGCTGCCTTGCTATAAACATTTCAGAGTGGAGGAAGAAGACTATGGAGGGGGGAACACACGAATCCCCATCCAAACTACCCTCGAATATCAACTCTTAGCGCTTTCTTAAAGAAACTAGTAGAGGCCAGAGAGAGTGGACCTTGCCGTCGAGGCTAACAAGCACCTTTCGAAGTGTTGTACGCGCTTCGTTTCCTCTCGGCTTGGGAATAGAGGGCATGCTGCACCAGAGGGGGGGTTCTCAAACAAACTATCTGACCCTGGTGGTTAACTAAAGTCAGGCTCTGTGAGGCTCGCTGGAGGAGGGAGGGAACAGCAGTTAGCGTGAGGCCACCGTGGGGCTGCTGCGCTGCTAACACACACAGCAGCAGGGAAGAGGAGATGGCCACAGGAGAAATCACCACTCTACCCGCCACACCTGAAGATGGAGGCAGTGGTGGCTTCCCTCCAGGAAACTTTAAGGAGCCCAAGAGGTTGTACTGTAAAAACGGGGGCTACTTCTTGAGGATAAACTCTAATGGAAGTGTGGACGGGATCAGAGAGAAGAACGACCCCCACAGTAAGTAGTTCCAGTCCATTGCACGGCAGACAAAGCTTCTTTATGCTTTTAAAGGGCGACAGGGAAGTAACCACGTGCGTTTATGGCTTCTCCAACATTCAAATCAAAGAAGTTTGTCTAGTTCTTGTATATTAGCCTTTGCAAGTGCATTCATGAATGTGGTGTGTGTATATTTTGATCTCATTCAAGTCACCTTGGTGTGTAACACTGCCATACATTAAAATGGCACTGCGATTGCGTCACTTGTAATTGAAATGTCCAGAATTAAAATATGACTTAGCTTTCGTGTGAAATGTGTATTAACACATAGACCAACTCTATAGTTCACATAAGTAAAGGCCATTGATAGTAATTGAGGATCTAGGTTTGTGTTCTAATCATTTCAGTATAATATTTGAGTGTCATTGATTAGCTTTAAATGTAACATGCAACAACAAGAAATATGTAGGGTTTTCCCTTGACACATTGAAACCATCTCATCACTCACTATCTAGTTGTTTTTTCTTCAATGTATGTATCTCAGATTGCATCAGTAATTGGTAGGAGGAGAAGGGACCCATGTCGAAGACGGGGTTTTCATCACAGGAAGCACTGCTCAGTGGAACAGGTGCACTCAAACAGCTGTCCAAAATCTATCACAAGCAATTAACTAGTAAGAGTGGAGAAAAGAGACAGACATTGGCCATTTCAATTACTGCCAAAAAATTGGCATCTCATGTGCTTTACAGCACCATTTATCTTTAATCAATAAGGCATATATTCTATAAGTGTATGTAATAACAAATACACTAAACTGGAAGAGAACCTCATTTTCTGTTATGACCATTCATTTGCGTCTTCAATATGATTAAAGCAAGGGATGATGAAATTAACCATGGCTGAAAGAGAACGTTTCACTTAGAGATGTGATCACAAGACCTATTGCACAGATGTTCAGTAAACACGGGATGCTCCCTTGCACACAACAACTACTAATTATGTATTCATTCAGAGAGGAATGGATCTTGATGACATTAGTCATTACACAAACCCTAAGTGCATACAGATGCCTCTGATATATACGTTTACAATGTACTGTATCATAGTTTAGGCCACTATCTTGCCATTTTGCCTTATGAGGCCTGTTTAATAGGAACTCTTTTTGTTTAGTTTTTTGAACTATGCTATAAATATACTATTGAAATATGCTTAGTTGGCACAGCACATGAAGGCTTATCTGACTCTACAAAAAGTTTGAAGTATTATAATCTGGGTGCTTCTACTCAACCAAATACGTAACTTACAATAAACCATTACAGCAATATACAAATATTGTTACTCAAAATATGAAAACTAAAGAACGATGTATCTTGCTTGTTTTATAAAAATATTTATCAAGATACTTTTTTTTGCCTCTGATATAATATATAAGTCTGCTATATCCATCCCTTTTCAACACCACTAATAACATACACTGAGTGTACAAAACATTAAGAACACCTTCCTAACATCTATACTGAAAAAAAATATAAACGCAACATGTAAAGTGTTGGTCCCATGTTTCATGAACTGAAATAAAAGATCCCAGAAATGCTCCATATGCACAAAAAGCTTATTTCTCTCAAATTTTGTGCACACATTTCTTTACATCCCTGTTAGTGAGCATTTATCCTTTGCCAAGATAATCCATCCAACCACGCCAGCCCAGGACCTCCACATCCGGCTTCTTCATCTGCGGGATCGTCTGAGACCAGCCACCCGGACAGCTGATGAAACTGAGGAGTATTTCTGTCTGTAATAAAGCCCTTTTGTGGGGAAAAACTCATTCTGATTGGCAGGTCCTGGCTCCCAAGTGGGTGGGCCTATTCTCTCCCAGGCCCCTGCCCAGTCATGTGAAATCCGTAGATTAGGGACTAATGAATTTATTTCAATTGACTGATTTCCTTATATGAACTGTAACTCAGTAAAATCGTTGAAATATTTCCATGTTGCGTTTATATTTTTGTACAGAATCAATGGAGATCACTGTGACACTAAAACATTTCCCCCTCCATAGTCAAGCTTCAACTCCAGGCGACCTCGGTGGGGGAGGTAGTGATCAAAGGGGTCTCAGCCAACCGTTATCTGGCTATGAATGGAGATGGAAGACTGTTTGGAGCGGTGAGTGAGCCTCTCCTTCCTTTAAGCAGCACCGCTATGATATTGTCATGGTCAACAACTCATTATTTACTCTAACAGGGACAGTATAATGCCTAAGATAAAGGGTTTTAATTAAGTTATGCTGAAAGCAAATATTATGTTGTCATACTATTACAGGTTTTGGTTTTTCCATTTATGTTACGAGGTTGGACTTTTAGCAGGTATAGCATGTTAGCACATAGGGTGCACCGATTGGTCTCACCTCACTAGTCAGTATGTGTTACACCTGTACTGGCTTGTCCATCTCGTTAGAGGGAAGGTGTTTCACCTGTGCTGGCCTTTAAGAGTGGCTGGCCCAGTGCTCCAGTTGTCTTGAGAAATGTGGAGGGTCAACACCTTTAGTTGGCTCTCCCTATTTGAGTTCTAGACAAACAATCCTTTATCTGATCTTCACTGTTTTCATTTTGCTCTACTTTTTGGTTTGCTTCCTGTCTTTAAGCTTGGTGTGGGTTTTAATATTTGCCTGTTCTTGGGCAAATTTTGTGGGCGCCCACAATGGGTCTTTTAGGTCCCTGTTGTTGTTGCTAGTCAACTTTCAGTGGACACCCCCATGAGTGTCTTTCAGAACCTCTCCTCAAACCCCACCTCTTTTGTTTTAGTTTTTGTCAGTGACTCTTTGTTACTTCTCCTTTCTGTTTGAGGTACAATTTTTGGTTTTCTTGCTGGGGAACGTAACAAAATGGAGGCTAGTCTGGGATTTGTACCCGGGACCTCTCGCACCCGAAGCGAGAATCATACCCCTAGACACCCTGTGCCTGTGGGATGGCTGAGTAATTTAGAGATTCTAGAAAACCTTGATGTCTTTTTGGCACACTTGCCTCCGGAGAAAAAAGGCGACATTGTTGCACTGCTTTTAGAATTTCAGGGTTTATTCTCAATGTGCAAACTCAGACAAATGTACTAGAACATGACATTGACTTTGGGGACTCTTCCCCCAATCAAACAACATGCCTATCGAGTGAACCCTGAAAAGAGAGAGAAACTCTGCAGTGAGGTAGAGTTCATTCTTGAGCATGGCATTGCACAATATGGCAAAAGTCAGTGGAGTTCGCCCTGTATATTAGTACCTAAGGCGGATGGGTCTCCGCGGTTTTGTTCAGATTTTCGGAAACTCTATTCCGTTACAAAGTTGGACTCGCATCGTTTGCTCAGGGTCGACGATTGTGTGGACCGTGTTGGCGCTGCTAAGTACATTAGCAAGTTGGATCTGCTGAAGGAATATTGTCAGGTTCCTCTAACTCAGTGCGCCAAAGTTGTCTGCTTTTGTCACTGCTGATGGTTTGTTCTCCTACCTTGGTCTCCCGTTCGGGTTACGAAATGCCAGAGCTATGCACTTCGTGCTACGTGGCCTAGAAAATGCTGAGGCATATTTAGATTATGTGGTCGTATTTAGCACGACTTGGCGCCAACACCTTCAGGATATTGGGAGTCTGTTCGGGCGTTTTGCAGCTGCCAACCTGAAAGTTAATCTGTCAAATGTGGTGGAGCAAGGGAAAGTCCAACCGGTCCTGGTAAAAGTGGAGGCCATCAATAACTTTCCTGCGCCAGCTTCTTGCCACGAACTGCGCTGATTCGTGGGAATGGCTGGCTACGACAGGGCTTTTTGCAAGAACTTTGCCAAGGTTGTTGCGGCACTTACAAATTTGACCAGTCCGAAAGTCGGTTTTTTCCTTTGGAGCCCGGAATGTCAGGAGTCTTTTGAGAAGACAAAGACCATCGTCCGTTCGCTCTGTACACCGATGCCAGCGATGTAGGCGCAGGGGCTGTGCTCCTACAGAAAGACGATAACAATGTTGAGCTCCCAGTGGGTTACTTTTCAAAGAAATTGGCCTCAAACCAAAAACACTACATGACTATCGAGAAGGAGACGCTCACTTTGGTACTGGCTCTCCAGCACTTTGAGGTTTATGTATTGGTCTCTGCACCTCTGGCCTATACCAATCATAACCCTCTTGTTTTCCTGAAAATATTATTTATCTTTGTGTAGAATAACAATCAACCAATCAATGCAAAAACACAGATATTGAAAAAAATGATTCTGAAAATCAACCTGCAATAGAGCATGTTGGGAAATATGATAATGATGGGCATGGTTTTCAGTGTTTTACTCTATTTAGAGTAAAAATGACACAATCACACTCAACTCTGGTTACTAAAACCAACACTGGGGTTATTTAACACCACTGAGTGTTAATTTAACTCCCGAATCACTAGAAATGTTACACTGAAAGAAACTAGGTAACACTGGCCAATTGGCTGTGTACCATACAATACATTGCTGGTTCACTCAATCCCTTCTCCAACTCTCTGCTCAATAAAATCAAAGAAAATACTAATTTGAAAGACAGAAATCATGGCAAAGATAAACTATGTCTGTACTGTATGTAAATTGATTAAGAGAATACCAGATACACTATACAGTGCATTCGGAAAGTATTCAGAGCCCTTTACTTTTTCCACATTTTGTTACGTTACAGCCTTATTCTAAAATGGATTAAATCGTTTTTTTCTCTCATCAATCTACACACAATACCCCATAATGACAAAGCAAAAATGTATTGCAAATAGAAAACGGAAATATCACATTTACATAAGTATTCAGACCCTTCACTCAGTACTTTGTTGAAGCACCTTTGGCAGCGATTACAGCCTCAAGTCTTCTTGAGTATGACACTACAAGCTTGGCACACCTGTATTTGGGGAGTTTCTCCCATTCTTCTCTGCAGATCCTCTCAAGCTCTGTCAGGTTGGATGGCGAGTGTCGCTGCACAGCTATTTTCAGGTCTCTCCAGAGATGTTTGACTGGGTTCAAATCCGGGCTCTGGCTGGGCCACTCAAGGACATTCAGAGACTTGTCCCGAAGCCACTGCTGCGTTGTCTTGGCTGTGTGCTTAGGGTCATTGTCCTGTTGGAAGGTGAACCGTCGCTCCAGTCTGAGGACCTGAGCGTTCTGGAGCAGGTTTTCATCAAGGATCTCTCTGTACTTTGCTCCGTTCATCTTTCCCTCGATCCTGACAAGCCTCCCAGTCCCTGCCGCTGAAAAATATCCCCACAGCATGATGCTGCCACCACCATGCTTCACCGTAGGGATGGTGCCAGGTTTCCTTCAGACATGACGCTTTGCATTCAGGCCAAAGAGTTCAATCTTGGTTTCATCAGACAAGAGCATTTTGTTTCTAATGGTATGAGAGTCCTTTAGGTGCCTTTTGGCAAACTCCAAGCGGGCTGTCATGTGCCTTTTACTGAGGAGTGGAGTCTGTTTCGCCACTCTACCATAAAGGCCTGATTGGTGGAGTGCTGCAGAGATGGTTGTTCTTCTGGAAGGTTCTCCCATCTCTGCAGAGGAACTCTGGAGCTCTGTCAGAGTGACCATCGGGTTCTTGGTCACCTCCCTGACCAAGGCCCTTCTCCCCCGATTGCTCAGGTTGGCCGGGCGGCCAGCTCTAGGAAGAGTCTTGGTGGTTCCAAACTTCTTCAATTTAAGAATGATTGAGGCCACTGTGTTCTTGGGGACCTTCAATGCTGCAGACATTTTTTGGTACCCTTCCCCAGATCTGTGCCTCGACACAATCCTGTCTCTGAGCTCTACGGACAATTCCTTCAACCTCATGGCTTGGTTTTTACTCTGACATGCACTGTCAACTCTGCAACCTTACATATAGTTATGGTCAAAAGTTTTGAGAATGGTCTTCACAAAGTTTGCCGCTTCAGTGTTTTTAGATATTTTTGTCAGATGTTACTATGGTATACTGAAGTATAATTACAAGCATTCCATAAGTGTCAAAGGCTTTTATTGACAATTACATTAAGTTTATGCAAAGAGTCAATATTTGCAGTGTTGGCCCTTCTTTTTCAAGACCTCTGCAATCTGCCCTGGCATGCTGTCAATTAACTTCTGGGCCACATCCTGACTGATGGCAGCCCATTCTTGCATAATCAATGCTCCAAGCAGAATTTTGTTTTTGTTTTGTTTGTCCACCCGCCTCTTGAGGATTGACCACAAGTTCTTAATGGGATTAAGGTCTGGGGAGTTTCCTGGCCTTGGACCCAAAATGTCAATGTTTTGTTCCCCGAGCTACTTAGTTATCACTTTTGCCCTATGGCAAGGTGCTCCATTATGCTGGAAAAGGCATTGTTCGTTACCAAACTGTTCTTGGATGGTTGGGAGAAGTTGCTCTCGGAGGATGTGTTGGTACCATTCTTTATTCATGGCTGTGTTCTTAGGCAAAATTGTGAGTGAGCCCACTCCCTTGGCTGAGAAGCAACCCCACACATGAATGGTCTCAGGATCCTTTATTATTGGCATGACACAGGACTGATGGTAGCGCTCACCTTGTCTTCTCCGGACAAGCTTTTTTCCGGATGGCCCAAACAATCGGAAAGGGGATTCATCCGAGAAAATGACTTTACCCCAGTCCTCAGCAGTCCAATCCCTGTACCTTTTGCACAATGTCAGTCTATCCCTGATGTTTTTCCTGGAGAGAAGTGTCTTCCTCGCTGCCCGTCTTGACACCAGGCCATCCTCCAAAAGTCTTCGCCTCACTGTGTGTGCTCATGCACTCACACCTGCCTGCTACCATTCCTGAGCAAGCTCTGCACTGGTGGTGCCCCGATCCCGCAGCTGAATCAACTTTAGGAGACGGTCCTGGTGCTTGCTGGACTTTCTTGGGCGCCCTGAAGCCTTCTTCACAACAATTGAACCTCTCTCCTTGAAGTTCTTGATGATCCAATAAATGGTTGATTTAGGTGTAATCTTACTAGCAGCAATATCCTTGGCTGTGAAGCCCTTTTTGTGCAAAGCAATGATGACGGCACGTGTTTCCTTGCAGGTAACCATGGTTAACAGAGGAAGAACAATGATTTCAAGCACCACCCTCCTTTTAAAGCTTCCAGTCTTTTATTCTAACTCAATCAGCATGACAGAGTGATCTCCAGCCTTGTCCTCGTCAACACTCTCACCTGTCTTAATGAGAGAATCACTGACATGATGTCAGCTGGTCCTTTTGTGGCAGGGCTGAAATGCAGTGGAAATGTTTTTTTGGGATTAAGTTAATTTTCATGGCAAAGAGGGACTTTGCAATGAATTGCAATTCATCTGATCACTCTTCATAACATTCTGGAGTATCTGCAAATTGCCATCATAAAAACTGAGGCAGCAGACTGTGAAAATTAATATTTGTGTCATTCTCAAAACTTTTGACCATGACTGTAGACAGGTGTGTGCCTTTCCAAATCATGTCCAATCAATTGGATTTACCACAGGTGGACTCCAATCAAGTTGTAGAAACATCTCAAGGATGATCAATGGAAACAGGATGCACCTGAGCTCAATTTCGAGTCACATAGCAAAGGGTCTGAATACTTACGTAAATAAGGTATTTCTGTATTTACGGTTTCATTCGTTTGCAAACATTTCTAAAAACATTGTTTTCGCTTTGTCATTATGGGGTATTGTGTGTAGATATGAGATTTTTCATTTTTTATAATCCATTTTAGAATAAGGCTGTAACGTAACAGAATGTGAAAAAAGTTAAGGGATCTGAATACTTTCCGAATGCACAGTATTTACAAAAGTATGTGGACACCCCTTCAAATTAGTGGATTCGGCTATTTCAGCCATACCCATTGCTGACAGGTGTATAAAATGGAGCACACAGCCATGCAATCTCCATAGACAAACATTGGCAGTAGAATGGCCTTACTGAAGAGCTCAACGTGGCACTTTCATTGGATGCCAGCTTTCCAACAAGTCAGTTCGTAACATTTCTGCCCTGTTAGAGCTGCGGCAGTCAATGGTAAGTGCTGTTATTGTGAAGTGGAAACATCTAGGAGCAACAACGGCTCAGCTGTGAAGTGGTAGGCCACACAGTTTGGGGAAGGCCCTTTCCTGTTTCAGCATGACAATGCCCCCATGCACAAAGCGAGGTCCATGGAGAAATGGTTTGTCGAGATTGGTGTGGAAGAACTTGACTGGCCTGCACAGAGCCCTGACCTCAACCCTATCGAACACCTTTGGGATGAATTGGAACGCCGATTGCGAGCCAGACCTAATCTCCCAACATCAGTGCCCGACCTGACTAATGCTTGTGGCTGAATGGAAGCAAGTCCCCGCAGCAATGTTCCAACATCACCCAGAAGAGTGGAGGCTGTCATAGCAGCAAAGGGGGGACCAACTTAAATTGATCAGATTAGCCAAACTCCTGTTAAAGTTTAAACACGGAGGTTAACACTAATACTCAGGCACTATTTAAAAGGGACAAAAAAAAACGTATTGCCTTCCAAACAATCCTTCATGCCTTCCAAACAAGATTTATTGCCTTCTAAATGATCATCAAATAACCCTTTTCCCCCAAATTGGTCCTTAGGATGAAAAAGGCGCTAGGTAGAACCCTTTGTCTTACAAAGAACCCTCATTTTCCAAAAATGCTTCTTGGTAGAAAAACTTTTGGAACCCTTTTTTTAAAAGAGTGTGTTAGCAGTGAACAGAGGTACTTCTGGGCTACTGTAGAAGTGTGAGCAGTGATGACTGAATGATGTGGTTTTGAGGTTCAGAGGGCTCCTCCACAGTGTATTTAAACCCCAGGAAGTGATTCCTGTCACTTCCTAATGAGTAGCCAGGCCAGCCACTGGGCACTCACTGGCAGACACATTACAGGCACTGCACCATCACTGATGTGGTCAGTCACTCAGAAGCTGCTCTCAGGGTGAGGGAACGCTCCAGTTTAGTTGTAGCCTGCTGGAAGTATGTTGTTATGCGTTTGGGATTGTATTATTTGTCCTTACTTATTATTTGTCCCCACTCACCAGTCTTATGTACAGGGTCACAAGCTGCTATACAAGCATTCAGTTCTTTTCACCTCAAATCTCTTTCCCCTAATAATAGATCTGATCCTGAGTAAAGTTTCCATGATATCACCGTCACATGTCAGAATGTTTGGATAGACTGTATTTACACAATATATTTAGAAAATATTAGGTAATGGGGATTGATTTGAGGTAAATATAAATGAATACAGTTACTGTTTCCCTGTGTTGCTAACCTCTGAATTGAACTTCTTATTGGGTTCTCCCATGCCTGTTGTAAGTGCCAGGAAATGCTTCCATGTAGGGTTAGTTCAGGCCACAACAGTTCTCCTTTATAGGTAGCCATGGTTGAATGGAAAACAGGCCCCCTCTTGTTGGATAGGACATGGGCAGAGAATTCATTTGGCAACATAGCTTTGAGACAGATGTGATTGATGTCATCAGGTCTTCCACATTGTGGAAACAGTGTTGTTTTTCCCATTCATACTCATGTAATGAAAAAACATTTAAATGTCAGTCATACAGCAAGTCTATTATTGAACACTGAATACGGATTTGTCCACTAGAAATTAAGTTACTTAAAAAATAAATTCACACCTCTTTGGCTTGGCAGAATTTCTGTTGAACTACTGAAAAATATCTTAATTAGTGTGTGACATTAAACAGCAGTTGACTGTTCTGGAGTCTCCACCGAAACAATGGAGGTATTGAGGTCTGAGGTGTTTTACAGGGTGAATCAACATCAATAAAATTACAAGCTTTTCCCGTTTCTCCACAGAGCATGTAAAAAGGAACTATATTAAATGCTGTCAAAATTAAATGGCTTATTTTGATTAAATGTCATAAAGGACCATGAAACATTTTGTTAACATTACAACTATTAGTATTTCTACGTTTCCCCTGGCAGCTAGGACCTAGGCTAAACCCTAGATTAAGTCATGTACATGAAATGTTTATTATTGTTTAATATTATGAATAACCATCATTGCCCAAAGCTTGGCACTGGTGGACATTCCCTATTGAACATTGCTTTTAGTCCAGGAGTAGGTTTAATAATCTGGTTCTGGGAAACCAGCCCATTGTGTTTTATTGCATAATACAAACATGTTTTCAGTGTTTCATTGACATTTATCATTGGTTCAGTTTACAATATGAAACTGGATCAATTGTATCCAAGAATAATACAACTGGATCAACTGTCAACAAGTGTATTAAATTAACCTCTAATTTAATATCTAATGTTTTTACTTTGTTCTCTCGCTCTTCAGAGACGGACAACAGATGAATGCTACTTCATGGAGAGGCTGGAGAGTAACAACTACAACACCTACCGCTCTCGGAAGTACCCTGACATGTATGTGGCAATGAAAAGGACTGGCCAGTACAAGTCAGGATCCAAAACTGGACCCGGCCAAAAAGCCATTCTCTTTCTCCCCATGTCAGCCAGACGCTGAGCTCACCTTGTCTTACCAATCTTAAAAGTCAGCCTGGCTGCAGTGCAAACAAACAAACGACATATGAAAAAGACAATGGAGCTTATTCATCATCAGCAACATCATCATCATCCCTGTAGTTGGGTTCTTCAACGGCAGGCATTTCAATCAATGGTGAAGGTGCATAAAGATGGTGGTCCCCCATGTCCTTACAACAAACGCCTCATTTGTTAAGTTTGCCGTATTGTACAGTGCTCTCCATTACTATTTTTATATTGGCATTAGTGCAGTATACATGATCCCAATTCTAGCTCCAAGACGGTGGCAAATAATAAAATAAAAAGTAGATTGTGCTGATTTATTGGTGCATTGAACCATGTCACGCACCGTAGTTTAAAAACTCTGTGGATAGTGCTCAAACAATGACCGAATGAATTTCTCCATCTTTACGCACCTTCGCCATTTAACTATATAATGTGAGTTTGACTAAGGCTGCTTCAAATATTGTAATGTACATTGATAATCTGCATATTTTTTCTCTATTTAACAATTTTGAAAATACATTTTAGACAAAAGTGAAAGTGAGATGCCACTTTGTAGTTCTGGGCTTTAAAAAGTAAAGTTTTACTGCACGGCAGTAAAGGTTAGCTTTTTCATGCCCAGAACTTCACTTGATAAAACTTTTAAATAGAACATTGGGTTTGCAAAGCTAAATCGAGCACACCATTACTCTCTAAAGTCATTGCAAAACAAACAGTAGACCTAGTACCTCTTTTACATCTCAATCTTAAAATATGAATGAGTGGTTTGATTTTAGAACATAGTGGCCCTGAGGGTCTTCCCAAACAGAGTTGCCAATTTCTTCAAATTGTGTATTTTTATTAGATTTTTTACAGACAAGGAGGTACATCTTGTGATTTGTGCAAAATGTCCTTTACAGTGATCATCATCGGTACCATTTGCTACACCCTCCTTCCCTTGTAACATAAAAACCTATTCCAGTCTGCCATAAATATACACTTCAAGTACTATGGTAAAACATCATCCACACGCTAATATGACAAGCACTGACGTGCTAGTGCAATTAGCATCGCTGTGCTAGGCTAGGCAAGGCGGACCCTGTCCTCAGGCGTTGTGTTTGAGCACCGGCGGCAGCTCCCTGTGGTACAGCTGGTAGAACCTCCCTGAGTAGACAGCTGGCAGCTCCTCCATAGCCAGATCAATCTTGTTGAAGCCCTGGTTTAGTCCATGAAGCAGGAGCCTGGCTAGGCGGCTAGTGATGGGTGTTGTGGCATTAGTCTTGGCTAGCTCGGTTAGCTCCAACCACTCACAGCGCAGGCACTCCTGGGTGCAGAAGTTGATGTCATAAGTGAGGGGGCTTAGGCGGCAGATGATGTACATGTCGGACATACCAAAAGCACCCGGGTGGTTGTGTTGCTGCCGGACGCTCAGAAGGGACTTGAACTCAGAGCGGACTCCCGTCTCCTCAAAGACCTCACGGACCGCAGTGGTGCCTTGAAGAGAATGAAAGAAAGGAAAACAGATGAGGAAACATGGATTTAATGTTTGTACTGTTCTTTAGAAACCTTTGTTTTGAAAACTCCAGTACTGTATATCTATCTGACTGTATGATAATGCTCACAGAATAACTGACCTTTTCATTATCAACATTTTTGTATCATACGCATGTGAGTACAAAAATTGAACATTAAGTCACGAAAATGAAATGGTTCAAAAAAAGGGAAATCTATTTTATTATGTATTTTAGTCACACATAAAACGCTGCTTCAGAGGGTGGGTCTATGTATCAAAAGCTGCTTCAAAAAGTTGAACAAGTTCATTTGAAGTCTGTTGTTTTAAGTAAAATTGTTTAGCTACTGTATAAACACTTGAGTGTAGCTCTCATGAAGGTCTGAGGTGGCAGTTTCTCTGTGTATGGTATACCTTAATGTATTGTGTACGGTCAGTTACTATACAGTATTATGAAGTTATGTGGTTGCATCACTCACCAATGTTTTCTCCTGGATCCGAGAGCCCTCCAGGGAATTTCCATGCATTTACTGTCTGAAATAAAGTCACAACAATACACTTTGTATTAGGATCCAAAATTGTGCTGCATTCAAGGATTTTATTTCTGAATAAGTATTTTACAATTGTATGTGCATAGGGCCAAATCCAAACTTAAATCCACATTATTCACACTTTCGTAAAACGTATGCATTGATGTTATAAGTTATGAGTTTAATATTCATTTTGATGTGATTGTATTTTATTCTTGAAGAAATCAAAGCAATTAAGTTTGGTGTTTTCACCACTCTTTAAATATATTTAAAGACAGATCGCTGCTGGTTAAATTATGTAGTTGAATACATTTGTAGTTTTTGCTTAATTTTGAATTCAAAATATACTTTTGCTATTGTAAAACTATTGTTTTTGTATTTGATTTGATTAATCTTGTTCAATGTTTTGATAAACTGTAAAGCACTACACTTTCATAATTTGATTTCCTTTCTAATCGTAATTAAAGTGCTATATTTTTGGAGCTACTTGTTTTACAACAACGTAGGAAATTTAAAGAATAAACGTATAATTTAACAATATTACACCATATTTTGTGTGGTTTACTAAATTGTGCTCTGGTAATATGGCTGTGATTCTAGATATGGGTAATCTGATACAGTCTAGGCATTGAATTCATCTGGAGAGCCTGGTTATGTACAGATAAGTGAAAAAGAATAACAATAAATGGTCCGAATAGCAAATAAGAACCATGACTAACTTGCACTCGTCATTCTTAAATCGCAAACAGCCAATGACTCATATTATTCTAAAACGTACATCAACCCATTACACATTACTTCATCAGATTTCAACACAGCAAATTGGGTCTCTTTTGTTTCAGCCACAAATCACCTAGCTACAATGCAATTACCCAGCATCCCTTTCATTTGCTGTCTTGGTGCAGAAGTCAGCGATAATGAACCAGGAGGGGTTCACTTTCAGGAAACACAACCCCAGAGCAGCTCTGGATGGGCTTAGCCTGCCAAACTCTGCCGATGGCCAAAGGCCAGACTGAGTGCATGAGGCCCTCTTCCAGTAAATGACGAGAAGAGAGAAGAGATTAAATAACTTCTCACTTCCCAAACACTAACTGCTCGTCGCTGTTGCTTAAAATATAACTAACACGCAAGACAATGTACCATATGCACCACTCTTGATATCTATTGCAGTGATTGGGTACACATAAATATTCAACCAAAGAGTTGCCATTGAGTGATGTTATGATACTTCAACACTGCAAATTGCTTTAGAAATACAGGATAATTATTTTGCGACCACACATTATGGTAATGTTTGAAATGTTGTGTGGTGTACTAAGCATGCACCAGCATGGGTTAAGAATGTTTGCTTGAGGTTGCGTAATGTTGTGAGGAGCTATGCTAAGTGAGACGGTGACGCAGCAGAAGTCAAGGTAAAGTCTGTGAGAGGAGAATAATTCTCCCCATGTAGAGAGGCAGCAGACGCTAGGAAAACTGCCTAAATAAACACATAATGACAGCCATTCATAGCAGTGGGAAGGAAGGAAACAACTACTGCCATTCACTCCTCAGTGTTGATTGGGGATTATATGGGAGTTAGATGAGGCACATTGAGATCCAGAGGTCGGACTGTATCACTGTGGTTGAAAAGTTTTATTTTTCCATAATATATCTTACAATGGTTTAGCTTTGCTTCCCTAGATAGAGACCTTTTAGATCACGAGAATGCAAGTAGATTTGTTTTATAATGGTGAACTAAATAACTCATAATTTGTGATCAAGTTTAACTTTCTTTTGTCATATGGACATTTAAAGAGCAACTGAAAGCAATATACAACTTATCTGGTAGAAAACGGCTTACGTGTGTCAAAATGTACAACAAAGTGTAAATAGGATATTTTTGGTCATAAAGTCAGTCTTGTCCAAAACGGAGATTTGCGAGATAATTAGGAAAAGATGGGATACCATAACAGTTTTCTTTGGGTTGGGTTTATTTAATCCTGCCCAAAGTAATAATCAATTCGGAGCGCAGCTGCACACGACCCAATTGTAATGCCCACATTAAATTTGGTTTGACATTCAATATCCCTATGGGGCTAGTTAGGGACCATCAATAAATTACACAATGTACATGGGAAAATATTTTAAAATGCCAATAGCTCTAAATTTCAATGACTTAAAAATCTCAAACCAACTATAAATTGTAGAAATTCATATATATTGAAAGCATTTAATGAGACAACTAAAAGGTGTTCAACATGAAAATATTTACCATTTACATAGTGTAATTTATTGACGGTCACCAACTAGCCCCGGAGATAGGCTATCCAAAGTCAAACCAACTTTGCCACCATCGCACACCAGCCGACTGAAGCAAATTGGCTAAAGAAGTTGGCTAGCACTAGCTAGTCTAAGCGACTTCAAGACACAAGACCTGGTTAGACTGTTTCAAGTTATCTTAGAAGGGTGAGTGACTAACTGTGTACTGTTTTGGCAGAGTGAATGTACAAACGCTTGCCACATGCGAACATACACACAAGAGACACCCACATTAAACCACACTCCCAGGACAACTCTTGTTTGGTTTCAGTCATGGCTGCTGCATTTCTTAACGTGCAAGCTAAAAAACAAGGCCAAATCAGGAAGTTCAGTCCCCCTTTATTATACAATAGAGAGAAGCAGTACAATACCTTGTTTTTGTCTTGAACGACGAGAACCTTTCCATTTGACTCATCAACAACTGCACCTTTATAGACAAAATAAAATAAGTTACTAGCCAAGTACACTACAGTAAATACTAACTATCAACATAACAGCATGATAATGAAGTGTTATTAAGCAAATTATTTAATCATAGCTGGTATATAAGCCAAATAACTTTGAAGACAGCTTCCAGAAAACTGACTAGAGACCAGTTGGCATTGAGTTGAGCGGTAATTATTGGGTTTGAGAGAACATGAAAGGTTTTATTAAACTGACCCA